TCCGCAAAAAAAGGCCACTCTAGAAGAGTTAAGTTTAAAATCTTTTAGTCGCACATGAGCAGGAAAAATCCCCTTAAAATTAAAGCCTTCAGCTTCTCCCGTTCCAGAATTAGCAGTTTTCCCATTAAAATTTTCACGTGTCCGTATGTGAGTACTGGGCGGTTTTAACGAGCTCAATCTAAATCTTTTGATCATACATGAGTTGGGAACATTACCCTAAAGTTTCAGCTTTCTAGCTTTCCCCGTTTCCGGATTAGTAATTTTCGCGCCAAAATCTCCACGCGCTCGTATGTGAGCTTGGGCGCTTCTAAACATCAGATTTTGCTCGTACATGAGTAGGGCACATTCCCTTAAAGTTTCAGCTTTCTAGCTTTTCCCGTTCCCAAGTTAGTAATTTCTGCGCCAAAAATTTTCACGTGCCCGTACGTGAGCCCCTGGCGGTCTTAAGGAGCTGAATTTGAAAACTTTGGTCGTGCACGAGTATGGAACATTCCCCCAAATTTCAACTTCCTGGCTTTTCTCATTCTCGAGTTATGAATTTTCCCGCCAAAATTTTTACGTGCCCATACGTAAGCCCCGGGCAATTCTGGGCAGCTGAATTTGAAATGTTTTTGTCATACATTGATAGGTCTCCCAAGGTTTCAGTTTTCTAGCTTTTCTCGTTCCCGAGTTAGCGATTTTCGCGCCAAAACTTTTACGTGGTCGTGCACGAGGCCCAGACGTGCGTGAGGGTTGAAACCGCGGCCCTGAGGTGGTACCTGGCTGGAGAACACACTGACAAAATTTCAGCTTCAAGGCTTGCATGGTTAGCGAGTTGCAATACACACACACACACACACACACACACGCACACACACACACTGACGGGGTCATTGTAATATGCGTTTTTGTTGCCTGTTGCAGCGCTCTAGCGCTGCACGGCAAAAACGCATAAAAAGTGAACTTTGTCACCTACTTTCATCTCAATAACTAGGAAAGCTGGGAGGTTGAAATTTTGGATATATGTTCCTGCCCGGTGTGTCATCCTCCCGTTTTAAAAATTTCCCGTTTTAAAATTTCCGTTCATACGCGCCAGACCCAGCGTACGACTTCCAAAAGAATATGCAGATTTCTTTGGCGGGAACCGATTTCGCGAGCCAGGTAAGGTACAAAGCTGAAACTTTGCAGGGCTATTCTGTGTGCATGTTTGAGCTAAAGGTTTCAAATTCAGCTGTCGCGCGTCGGAGGTTACAATTTGGTACTATGCTAACTCGGAAATTTACCGGAAAACAGTGGCTGAAATTTTGCTAGCTTGTTTGTCGCACATATGGGAGATCGTATACCTAAAGTGAGTGCCGATTTGCACTTGCGCCAAGACTTAGGGCACTTCAAAAATATATGTAGCGAAGTGGCTGTTCCGCTTACCGGATAACGTGCGAGGCTGAAACTTCGCTGAGATATTCTAATTTCAAGCGTGGCCCCAATCCTGCTTGGAAGTGATATTCCCTACAGGTGATTACGAGGAATACTCAACTTTACT